GCTGCTTGGCCTGCTGTGTTCATCCAGCTCTACATGTCGCCCTCTCTTTTGATCTGCCAGCCACACCCAAACTGCAGGCCTGCAACTGATTGAAATCTCCATCAGTGTGCGTTCCTGTTTGGATTACTGAGAGGGCAAAAAAAAATTAAAAGGCTTTTATTATATTTCTCCACAGTTGAAAACAATTGACTGTTTACACTAAGAGACAAGCAGGGGTAAAATAAAACGCTAAATGGCCAACAATCGTGCACTGTAACCCGGAATCAGTAAACAAATGTAATACGAATTAACAGGTAAATTACAGTCTATAAATCACACACTCATTACCAGCTACAACTAAGACAGATCTTACAAAGTGGCTTATCAGGCTACTCTGTGTCAAACTCAGTCACAAGTCCTGCAAGACTGCCTCAGTTGTATTTTGCTTTTGTCCTTCTTTTCCAATTAATGCTGCCAGCATAATAATGCGACCTCGGTGCAATTGCTTCAGGTACTAATCGATTAGGCAACTGATTGTAGACAGTTTCAGGCTAGAATTTTTAATTTGACTGTTTTACGGCTGGTGGATTATATTTGTTTTTTTAAAAATATTTACCCCTCCTCTCTGACAGAACCACAAACTGTCAAACTTTTCTGGGCGATTCCTACACACCCCAGCCCCACCCCCGTGAGAAAACAGTTCTTGCAAAAATACACAGCTGATCAGACTTGCGCACCTTTCCACCTATCGCTAAAAATCCGGATGCAACAAAGCCAATACGCTTACCCAGATAGTCACACGGGTCACTCGACATGAAATATACAAAAGAAAAACGCACCACACAGGCAGGCTGCTAGTAAACGAGGCTGCTCTGGTGATTACAGAATATTATGCACGAGCGACAGGCTCAAAGAAAGGCACATTTTAAAATAGACACGGGACATTACGAAGAAAAAACCGGATAAATTGTTCAAAAATTGCTCATGTCATCTGATTTACTATAGAATGAAACTGACCTAAATTAATCTCACAACTGGAACCCACGGTCTGTTTGTGAAATAGCTCTATATGGTCTGCTTAGGGAAAATAAATGGAGGCTCATTCACGTTCTCGGGTTTGGAGGAATAAGGACACAGAAGTATTAACACATAGGCCGAATCTTAAGACATTCCCAATCGTTATCACCCTAGAATTTTGCTTTCTTTTTTTTTACAAAAAGGTCAGTTTAAAAGGGATAGGGAGGCGAATTTCTGCAATATTTACACGCCAATATTTGCAAATCAGAGGGGAAAAGGTACTCAAAATGCACATTATTGTGGGTGGCAGGGGCGGAGAATTAGCCTGGTTCAGAAGGATATGCAGCATTTCACACTTTAGCAGATAGAATAAAGGCAGGGATTTAACAACAAATTAGAGACCCCCCTCAAAAAAAACACACACCCATCCACACGACCATCACCGCCACTTTCTCTTCCCCTTTCACCAGGTTTAAGGAACCAGACCGCGGGAAAAAAATAAGTTAGATTCCTTTCTCAACACCCAAAATTCAAAACCTCGTAAACATAATGCTTGCGCTTGCTTTAAACGTGTCAGATGTTAGCCTGCGTATTGAACTGAGCTTACAATTCCACTTTCTATCGCACTTTTGTTTTTCTTTCAAAAAATGTCTGCTCAGAAAGTATTGAAAGAGAGAAAGAGAATTCCCGATTCACACAACACGTACCATTGTGGTGTGGGGAAATTTGCCAGAAATCACTGTATCACTTCCACTGCAAGCCGCAGATCCAGGAAACTCCTAGTCCGAGAGGCAAGTCCATGTCTAATAAAGTGCGCCGGTCCCAAACCATCGAGAGAGCGATTGAGAAAGAGAAAGAAAGATTATTTCAGTCAAAAGTTGCCTTCGAATAGTCCGACACATAAAGGTTTTCCTTTTCTCTATGCATTTCACTGTCTTTTCCTTTCTGTTTAGACTTTACTGGGATCGGTTTTCCCAGGTTAAAGTTATGCCTTTTCCTTCGCGGCTTCGGTGAAACTTTATTTTTTTCTTTATAGAAAAAGTTATTCTAATCTCTGCAGCATTGTGGTTGCGCGGCCTTCCCGCTTCAGAGCATTGTCAGGAAGAGCAGTCTGTGTGCTTAGAACAGAAATCTCTCCAAATACTGCAGAGGAGAGAGAGAGAGGGTTTTGAGAGAGAGCCGATAAGTCCCACTTCCATCACTAACTAACTAACTAACCGCTCCGGTCTCGGAGTTGAGCCGTGATTTGTTTAATAACTTTTTGTATGTGTGTGTGTGTGTGTGTGTTTTGTTTTGCATCTGGTCTGTAAGCGCTGGGAGAGCAGCTGCTGTGTCTGTGTGTGTCCCTGTGTGTGTGTTTTTGAGCAGAATTACAGAGTGAAAAGCCATGAACTGGGGCTTGTTTTAAAGAGGCATCGGCGCAGAGGGAAAGTTACTGACAATAAATGCGAGTGCATTCGGTCTCATACGATCTCCGAGTAGAACAAGCGAAGGGACATCGTGATGAGGGGCGGGGGGTGGTGTTAGTTTAAACAGGAAAAAAAAAGAAACTAAAACAGGAGAATAATCGCAAATAGTGCGTACAAGTAATTGAAGTGTGTAGATATTTTTAATTTGCAAAAAGTGCTGACAGATTTGCTAAATGACGAGCTGTTTCTCTTTATGGTAGAGGGAGAGAAAACGGTCGGCGCTAAGTGTTGAAGGAGACAATGGCAGGGCAACTTGTTAGCAGCGAACGTTATGGAACAACTTGAGCCTCATAGATACCAGACTATCCAACTCAAATATGTTATTTCCAGCAGTAGGAACCGATTTCCGTCCAAAACTTAAAATATGTTTCTCTAAAAGGACAGCCCCGCCGCCATGACCACCACCCAAATACAAAGTTAGTAGTGTCAGTCCTCTAGAAGGGAGGAGAGGTGTAAATTAGTTCCAATTTTTCCTTGTAGAATGATTGAGTGAAACCAGTTTGTATACGTGTGTGTGTGCGCGCGCGCATAAAGCCAATAGCGGACTTCAAAATAAATCGATTTAAAATAACAGCCCTGAACTTTCCGGGTTGACTTCAGTTTAACACCACAGCCTCAGCAATTGTTGGATATTATGCTTGCAGTTCATCCCAAACCTCCTTCACTACCCTCTCCTTGCTTTTTAAACAAATTGTCGATTGATGGTTCTATTGTGGGTAGCCTTTGAACTTTCAAAAGTAACCTGGAACTTCTAAATGTCTGGCTTTTAACTAATTGCAAATGTTAGAAAAAAAACAGAACGCCCCTGCTAAAAAAAAGTCTGTTTTTAGCCCTTGTTAAAACTCAAGAGTTTACTGTTACTGTAAACAGTTGTGTGTGTGTTTTTTTTTTAATGATACACATTCGGAATTAGGGTGGCTGCAAATTGTCTCCCAGCAGAATTTCTTCAAGGTGTATCACCGAAATGGACCCGGCGCGATTTCTGCAATGGGATTTAATTCCTCAAAGTTGCAGCCTTCCACTAACTTCTGTGTCCCTGTGCATTACAATAGGTATCCACCAATTTCCCCATCAGCCCAACCCGATTGTGTCCAAATATACAGCGAGGTCTGCAGACAGGGCAAATGGGGACTGTGTAGGAAGAGGGAAACTGCAACATCTGGGAATATATCTGACAAGCATGTGTGATAATGATGATTCTATCGGCGCTGCAGCATTCCCCGAATACGCCGGAGCGCCGCTGGTACAAAGGCAAATGGCAAATAAATCTGTTGGAAGTAAAAGGGGCGAAGTCACAGAAACACCAAGAGTGTTCCTTAAATGGATTCACTGGCCAGTATTTCACCTCAGATATAACAACAGCAATAACGCAGTCAAATCACTTTAGTAATGAGCTCCTGCTATTTAATAGAGGTTAAGAAGGAGGCGACTACCGTTTCTTTTAAGATAAAATAACAACGGCGTTTTAACAGATATGAAAACATTTTGTTTTTGAAAAATGAAAAGCCCACGAAGAATCACGAGCTGCTATTTTTGCTTTTTCTACTACGCGCTGGTAGAAATATTGTCTGGGATCTCTGCATTTTTGGGGTTAAGCTCAGGAATCACTGTATTGTAGGTTGGGTTGTATTGTGGGGTGGGTTTTGAAAGCGTGACCATCTCCATTTAATTCTATCGAGTGAAATAGACGACCCCCTCAACCCTGCCACTGCCCCCATTCCAAGCACCTTAGTGAGAGGGAGAAAGAGAAAAAAAATCAGTAGTTTTCAAATGGCTTCCCTTATTGACTGAATGTAACTTTTGACTCTTTTGAACTCTCGCTTGGCATTTTTCATAAAGTAAAAGAGAATAAATTAAGTTACATTTGATGGGCACCTATATCCTGAAATCTCGACAAATTAAAAATCGCAGCAAGGTGTATAAACGGGGAGAGACAAAGTTTTCAGTGAGACTGCCCGTCAGAACAGCCATTGCAATACTGACCCACTGTGAAACGGCTCCAGCACAATGGGAAATTACTGCCTTTGACTGAACGAAGTGGAAATTCACGAGACTAGATTCCGGATCGATAATTTAAGGAATAACGTGCAGGGGTTGTGATAAGGAGTCAACAGCTTCCGCACAAGTTTCAAACCCTTTAACCCTTTCAGGTCCACACAAGTTTTCAATTGCTGCAGGCAACCAATTGCAGATAAAGAAATGGTCATGGATTAATTTTGTAGACTTTGCAACTGGCTTCCAATCTCTCCAGCAAATAATCTTGTGCCGGCGTGGATTTTTTATTTAAATTTTTGCTTCAAGTCTTATTTTATTTCTCCGGGTTCTGCTTTCTCTGCTTGTAAGGAACTGTCGGAAAGAGTCTTTTTGGAAAGCGCCTGGCAGGGTTTTGGGCGAAGGGGTTTGGAGATGGACGGGAAAGTAGTAGTGGTGAAAAAATTGCGGTGAGATGGTGTTGGTGAGAAAGCCAAGATAGACTATCCAAACCTCCATTGTTTCAGTTATGCACCGCGCTCAAAACTGATTTGAGACAATATTACAAAACGCTCTGGACAGGCTGACATACAGGTACATCTTTCGTTTGGGTGAATGTCCAATTTCGAACTCCGCATCTTTCAATAAGAAAACATGTTATAATTGAAACGTTTCCCGAAGTATTTAGTTCAGGTACTTTCAGAGCTGATTCTCTCTCTACATGCATCAAATCTACCCAGCTGATATCTCGTTAAATTGCCTAGACACGTCCTCAATTTAATTAAATGCAGCATTTGTAACTTTCGTTTTGCTTATTAGTAATAATTTATTCATATGAACTTTACTATGCAATAGAATTAGAGCTCTAACAATGTGGGGATCCGAAACAGATTCCAAATTTAGGTTAAAGCATTTTAAAAACGTATTGAAATGCTAATTTGGTTAAGCTTTTGTATTTCATTTTACCCGCCGTTATACTAATTCCATACTCAAAGAAACACACACTCAGACAGAACCACACAGGAACAGAAATACACAAACAGAAAAACAAAGACACAGAAACACAGGAACAGAAACACAAAAAACGTGTGCACGCACAGAGATACACACATACACAGACACACACGTAGGCACACATACATTCACACACACAACACAGATACACACACACATTTACAGATACACACAGAGATACAAAGACACAGACACACACATACACGGAAACATACAAAGACATACACGGATATGCACACACACCACACAGACACACAGATACCCACATATAGATGGACATACACACCCACAGGTATACACACACATTGTGTATATTCAAGAAGGTTGCAATGAAATGAGCCAAAGACTATCCGAACTATTCTGCTATCAGGAGATTTCTAAAGCTCTAAATTGCTTCTTTATTCCAATTCGTATGATACTTAAACTGCTTTTAACTTGTTGAACGCCTCATTATTTGTACAACTTATTGATTACTATCAAATCAATCTAAATCTCAGCGTTCCTGTGCAAACTCCAACACGGAATTCGAAGAAGAAACATTTTAAATTGTGGTGCCAAGTACATTTCACATTGATTTCTAAATTCCACTTTTTAAATTGGAAGCTTAATTGCCGGAAGAAATTGATACTGGGCTGCTTTTATTTTCTAAAAGCTGTGTCCGTGATATCAGTAACTAATATTAACTTTACGCATTAAAAAAGAAAATCTGCATTCTACGTGAGTTTAGAATTAAAATACCGATCTGTTTGATACTCCTTAACTCAATGTACTGGAGTTTTGTTACACACTGTTTAATGCTGTGTTTAAATGCGTTAAAAGACCTTTTTAATTCATGAATTATGCGATTTTGTTCTTACAAAATGTTCTGCAAATGTCGTGTTTTCATGAATATTTGAGATCATATTTAACCTCGTTTTTATTCACTACATAATTATTATTTAACTTTTTTAAAAAACTCACTGCTCCCAGGCTTTGTTTTGAATGTAGTACACGGGGTTCACTTGTAATAATAACCTTTCTATATTAACGCTTTAGTTTGATTAGAAAGTATTTTAACCATGTAATTCTGTGGTTTCTAGGTGCTTGTAGATTTTTTTCATATCTCAGTCAATCTAACAATAAAGTATTTGCATCAACGTAATTTTAAATAAGTATGTTCTGTTTCACTATTTTCAACAGTATAAAATCGAATATGACCACAATTTGGAGCATATTCTTCTTTTTCTCAAGTAAGCACACACTCCCTTTCCAAAAATCGTTAAAAATGAATGTTAACGACGATTAATACAGGATCTCCAGAAGTGTGAGGAACCGAGTAAGACTCTTTCCCACGATTGCTTCATTTCTTTAGCCACTACCGTTGTCCAGCCAACATCAAGCACCACATCTCACCCCGCTGCCCATATCTAAAGTTATCATTTGCTCTCTGCTCAAATTCGAAGCAAAGACTACATCGTGAAAATGTATGTAAGATAGTTCCACGGCCAAGCATTAGAGTAATATATACGTTTAGAAAATACTTTTTTCTCGTTTTAACTCTGGAGACAAAATGATACAGTCTGAAACAAACAAATGCTGGTGAAACTCAGCATTTCTGGTAGCATCTATGGATACACAAACAGAGTTAATGCTTCTAGTCCAGCTCTGAAGAAGGGTCACTGGACTCGAAATTTTAATTCTGTTTGCCTCTCTCTCTCTCCATAGTTGCTGCCAGACTCTCTGATTTTCTCCAGCACTTTGTTTTGATTTGTTTCAGATTTACAGCATTCGCAGTTTTTTGTTTTATCATGCAACAGATATTTTAACTGACCAAGGTGGAGACGTCAAGAACTAGGGCACTGTTGTCCCCCGCGGGAAAAGACGGTTCCAAATTGCACTTGCTGCTTGTTCAATAGCAAATGCCGGAGTTGCTGAAAAAAGAATATTCAAATTCTACCTCATCAACTATAAATGAGGGAGGGATAAAACAAAGAACTGCGGACGCCGGAAATCTGAAACAAAAACAGAAATGACTGGAGAAACTCAGCAGGCCTGGCAGTACCTGTGAAGAGAGAGAGGGAGAAACAGAGTAAATACTTCAAGTCCAATTCTGAAGCAGGGTCACTGGACTCGAAATATTAACTCTGTTTTCTTTCCAATGAAGTCGGGGAAAAGTTGGCAGGAGCGTGCAGACAGTTTTAGTCACAATGGTCTCATCAGTTACATCGGAATGAGGACTGCAATGCAGATTTGTTAGCTCCTCTAAAGAATTCGTTCCACATCCCCGTTCGAAGAAATATATTTTAATTATTTTTCAATTCCTCCATTCGAACACTACCTTAATTCGGCGATGCCTTCATCCAATCGCTCTTTTGTAATACTTTAAATCATTTCATTTGTTTTTGCTTCAATTTGCCAATTCAGAACCTATTCCCTAGCTTTTTGGATTAGACTGAAACAGAGCTGGTTGCAATTATTAAAATTACTTGGAGAGATTCATACATACTTTTGTTTTAAAAAGAGTGATTGTTGCTCCACCAATGCACATTAAACAATTGCAATGATTGAATTCTACGCCGTTAAACCTTTTGAGCTCAAAATAAAGGACAATTTGACGGGTTTTTCTTCTGCCTGTCTCGTTAGGAGTTAAGATATGTTTGAGCGTTTTTTTTTAAAAAGAACATCGAATTCAAACATATTGATAAACTTAGGATAAGAACTTGCTGTAATAGTTCTGTCACATTCTCTCTGGATGGAGACTGCAAACTTACGTACAGCTTCGATTCTCTGAGAAGGACAGATTTCCCCCGTCATTACTGTGTTTTTTTGTTCCAAAGTATTAACCCGAGAGTCGTCTCGTTAATTCCAAAAACACCCTCTCCTTCATTGCCAGATACCGGAGAAACAAGACTAGGGAAATATTCAGTTATTGGAAAGACTGAAGTATCAGATTAAATCTAAAAAAGAACAGATATGATCAATTAATTCAAAGGTTCTGATAATTTCTCGCCTCAGTGAGGACTCTTCATCGATGGCTTTCAGCATGTGAGGTTGGAATGTGTTACCAGTATTGTTGGCTTTTGGGTTTTGTGGCCAAGCAGTGTGTATCTACCTCTTTACAATATCTGAAGAATGTTGAACATTTAACAATAAGCAAACAGTGGTGATAAACAGCCTCTCCTTACTGTCTCAGATATATTACTTGGATGTAATATATACATTATTGGCAGGATCCATTGCATTATCTGGTGGTGAGGGTGTGGGAACCCTTTAGCCTTGTTACTGACGCTCACCTGTTACTTTGGGCTTTCAGCGAATGAATAGCCAGTTTCATTGTGAACATTTTAATATATGGACATACGGACTCACACGAAAATTTTTGATATATTATTCAAATCTAAAACTTACAATGCGCAATATGAAATCTAGTGAGGCTTTCACCTTCTTTGTATTTTAAACCATATTTTGTTTTACGATATATTAAATATATATTCTCTGCCTGTTAGTAAATAACGGGAAAGTGCCGTGCCTGAAGCTTGCTCCATTCTCTCCATTAGTATTCTCGATGCCAGCTAACCAGTGAACGGAAAGTTGAAAATTAGTAACAATACTGTGTATTTATGTGTGTGGGTCTAAATGCATGCATGTATGTGTGTCCCCTGTGTGTATGTGTTTACATCTGTATGTGTGTGCACGTGTCTGTCTGTATGTATATGCTTGTGTACACGGGTGCTTGTATGCGTATGTGCGTGTATCTATATGTGTGCATCAACATACGTGAGTGCGGCCCTATGTGGGAGAGAGACGCTGTGTGCCTGTATGTATGTATTTGCGTGTGTCTGTTTGTGAGAGAGACTGTATGTGACGGAAACTGTGTGAGAGTCTGTATATGTGTCTGCATGTGTATTTGTGTGTGACAGAGACGGTGTGTGCTGTCTATGTACATGTATGTTTATCTGTTTGTGTGTCTGTATGTTTGTGTATATATGTTTGCATGTGAGAGTCAGTGTGTGTTGTCGATATGTTTGTTTGCGTACGTGTGTTTGTGTGTATGTATGTTTGTATGACAGACAGTGCGTATTGTCTATACGTATGTTTGCATATCTATGTGTCTGTATGTATGTATGTGTGTCTGTATGTGCATGCATGTGCTTGCGTGTGTGATAGAGAGACCGCACGCATGTGTGTGCGTGTGTGTGGAGGGGGTTGGGGTGGGAGGCGGTGGTGAGTGGAAGTGGGCGGGTGGGAGTGATGAGGTTAAAGCAGTTGTGTTGTGAGTCTGCATATTTGGAGGTCAGAGCGCATCAGTGACATTGGATTTAAGGGACAGCAGGTGTCAGAAGATGCGCACGGTCAGGAGGCCTTGAAAAAAAAGCTGTTGTTTACTTCTGAGGCTTCGCTATCGCCATTAGTGACATTTCTCACTGATCACATTTTAATAATATTGCATTACACAAGCTTCTGCAATGTTTACCGCAGTAAAGAAGCTTTAATAACCAAATAAAAACTCGCGCCTACGCAGACAGCCACATATGTGGTTCTACTACAACCGTTTTGGGGGAACTCCTGAATTTAGACTGGTGTGTTAATTTTGAAATCAATATTTCACTTGTTCTTAGTGCTGGTGAGGGGAAGTGGGGGGGGTACAATTCATTTAAATTGGAGGAGCGAGCGGCAACTGAACTGCACATGGTACCTCTAACACTGAATATTGTCAGTTTTCTATATAAACATGGGACTAACGGAAACAAGTCCATGGCTTAATTTCCATCAATGTAATGCCCCCTATCGCCTGCCCCAATAGTTAAATCAGATAATGTCCGAGGGTTTGGGATCAGTGGGGGCAGGGGATGATCAGTGGGGGGACGGGTGTCGGTGGGGTAGGGGATGGTGATCAGTGCGGGAGAGGGTGGTGATCAGTGGGGAGGGGTTGGTCATCAGTGGGGAGAGGGTGGTCATCAGTGAGGAGAGTTGATCAGTGGGGGAGGGGGTTAGTGGGGGAGTGGGAGGTGATCAGTGGGGGGGAGAGATTAGTGGAGGAGTGGGGCGGGTGAACAGTGGGGAAGGGTGATGGTGACCAGTGAGGGGAGTTGATCAGTGGAGGGGTGATCATTGGAGGGGGGGCGGGGGGCGAGGGCCTGGGGGGAGGGGTGAGACGTTATGGTCAGTTGTCACCCTGCCACCCCGGCCATTTAGTCCATTCACTACTTAACCCGCTTTCATATCAGAATAAAGGTCAAATACTCTGCTCATTGGCTTAATTTTATAAAATAATAGAAGATCTTAAAATATTTCGAGCAGGGTGACATAGCGGACTAAACAGTCGCTGCTGAAACATTCGGGGACACCAATCTACAAGTTTGCGCTTCCAAACCGGACCCTGTAACATTCAGCAATCTGTGTTATAATCCCATGTTTGAAGAGAGGGGCATGTGTTTTGTCTGTGGGGGTAAGGAAGGGGACTTGTGTTAGACAGAACAGCAACATTGCGCGTTTTACGGGGAATGTCAGGAATACTTCGTCAAATATTCCAAGCGTTTCTTTGCGTTGTTGGCCTTGGCGCCGTTAACAAGCGGACGGCGTTCACGCTTCACGCGTGTCAAGGCAGCTCGCGGGACTTAGGAACACGGGTCACTTTCAGCAGAACGAATGAAAGGTAGAAACAGGCAGAGAGAAAATAGGGACACACAGAGAGAAAAAAAAGTGAGGGAGAGAGAAATAGAGAGAGATTGGGCTAGAATAGCGAGATTTTATTTTAATTTAAAAAGAGGGAACAGAAATGGAAATAGAAATGAGAAAGAGAAATGAAGAGAACACATAGACAGCAGGTAAGAAACAAAAAGAAAAAAGTGTAGGAGAGAAATAGAAAAATAGACAGATGGAAAGAAATGGAGAGAAAAACAGAAAGAGGGAGAGAAATGGAAAAAATAGAAAGGAGGAGAAATATATAGAAAGCAAAAAAGGGGAAGAAATGTAGAAGAAAATAGGGGAGAAGTGGAGAGAGAAAATAGAAACAAGGCAAACAAGAGAAAATAGAAAGAGGGAAAGAAAAAGAAAGAGGCTGAGAATTAGAAAGTGAAAATCGAGAGAGGGTGAGAAATACATGGAGAGGAAAGAGAGAGGGGGGACACTGAGAGAAAAGGTAGAGAGGAAAAGAGCGGGATAGATTAGAGAGGGGGAGAAAATACAGAAGGAGAAAGTGACAGTCATAGGTAGGAAGAAAGGAGGAGGAGATTCATAGAGAATTAGAGAAAGAGGGAGAAAGTGAGATAGAAAGAAACAGAAATCGAGAGGTAAGGAAATAAGGACAGAAATAAAAATACCAAGAGAAAAAAACTTTTAAAAAACGAAAAGACAGCAAGTAACAAAAAAGAAAAGTAAAGAATGAGAGCGAAAGAAAGAGAGGTGGGGAAACGGACACAGAAAACACAGTGGGAACTAGAACGCGGGGGAAAGAGAAATAGAAATAAAGAAAACAGTGAGTTGATACGTTGTATTCTGGTCCTGGTCTTCAACTTTTCATTAAGCTGTTGATTACAAGCCCGAGGGCAAAGGGAAACAAAACTTTCATTCGTACTCCTCTGTGAGTTGTAATAAATTGCTGTTGAGTCAGGACGCGTTGGCAGTTTAGAACATGCAATGTTCCCTTCTTTAGTGATATTACTGTACAGTCATTAGCCGCAGGCTACGGCAAACGTTGAAATTCCCACAGAAATCAACAAGGCAACATAAAGTCTTATTTAGAGGGGATTATAGATTAGTTTATAGTGTGACACAAAATAATTAGTATTTTGGTGTAATTAGTTGGGCCTGTGGCGTTGGACTCCGGGCGGGCTTCGCTAGGGATCTGATTGAAGCTGGTTGCGGTTTGATATTTGTTTAACCCGAAGACTGAGGCCATGTTCTTGTTTACCTGAAGTTCTCAAATAATCCCACGATTAAATCTTTCGCCTGTTTCCCACTGTCAGGGACTAATCGGCCGGACTGTGGTATCAATATTCCTCATTACTGGCTGCTCATAAATCTGCTGTTAAATTGTCCAATAAACTGGAGCTCATTTTAACAGGAAGGACGGAGAAACCCAGTATGGTGCAACATGCTGCAGTGTCAATGATTGTAACGTTAACCCTTCACTCCCTGCAAGAGACCCGCGTTCTGACAATTTCAATGGGCAATTTTCTTGGGGCGTGAAATTCTACAATGCATACTGGAAGTAATGTGGCACTGCAGTTCCTTCTTTTTGGAAAAAAAAAGTTATCAACTTTGCAGTTTTTTTTTAGAAATGTCAACGTTAACAAGGCAAAATACATGGTGGAGGGGTTATAATACAAACAGAAGGAGCTGCAGAAAGTCAGCAAGTCTGGCAGTAGAAATAGAAATAGAGTCCGACAGAGAATCGGAGTGGACACTGTATGCATTAGGTCGCTAATCTGACACCTAAATCTTGTCTCTTGTTGCACGTTTCCAGCACATTCTGCATTACATATTTCTAAATGAATGACCCCACTATAGTTCGAACGTACTCCAGAAGATATCTTTCATTACTGGCGCAATCCCGAAGATCCTTTGAAAAGTGAGTTTTTAAAAAAAAGGACCGATGTGCATTTCACAAATTCGGGAAGTCCCCAGGTGTTTTACAGCCAATGTAGTACTCGTGAAATTGCGGTATGAGGAAATTCGGCGCACAAATGTTCACATAGCTAGCCCCAAAGACAATAATGTGAAAATAGACAGAAAAAAGTGTTCGTGTAATATTGACAGAAGGGCAAATATTGCCCACTACACCACAGGTCAAACCCTTCGGTTCTTTCTTAAAATGGCATGGGATTTGCGTTTAAATTTATAGGCAGCACCTCAAACGTACTGCACTGAAGTATCAGCCTCAATTCTTGTCCTCAGATCTCTGGGGTAAGATTTAAATCCACCACTCACTGACTCTGGGGCAAGAATGCTACAGCCTCCTTAGTGACACCTTCAAATACCGGGCAACAAACTGGTATTTATATAAATTTTCATGCAGTATAGCATTGCACAATGCTTACGACTCCAATTCCAAGTATTAGAGACTGCTAAAACTATCAGCCCACTATAGGAGTCACTTCATCTCAACTCCTCAAGAACATTAATGCTTCAAAGTTCAGCAAGACAAACATTACATCACGGATGCACATTCGTACTACTGCACTTACAGAGTTGCTACAGCCCCACTCACTAGAGAGAGTTATGAATGGTAGTGGTTTAACCAGAGGGTCACAACACATCAAAAAGGGGTGAAGTAGTGAAGGAGAGTTTTGCACGGTAACCACAGCTGGTGAGGGAATTGAACCCATGCTGTTAGCATCATTTTACATCACAAACGAGCCATTTTGCCAACTGAGCTAACCAAACCCCCTAACATAATTGCAATGTATCAGTAAGTCAGCTAGTTTACAAGACTACTAAAATTTAATGGCTACTTGTTCTGAAGACCCTTGTTATATAAATATGAATTATTGGAGGACAGATTGCATGGAAAGAAAGGGTTTGTGTTGAGTTTGTGTGTATGTGCGTGAGCAAGAGAGAGTGAGAAAATTTGACTCAATTTGTGAGTGCGATAAATACATTTTTACTGTGAGTGTGCATACAAGACAAGCTGAAAGGTGTGTAGAAATACAAATAGGATGAAGATTACTCTACAGTTACAGATATTAAATTAGCTGTTTGACCATCACCAATGAAAAGTTATAAGTATGGACCTTTATAGTTACTTAGCATTGCAAGTGATGGGCAGAAAGTACGTGAGTGATGATTGTTCATTGAACAGAAATTTAATTAGCAATAGGTTGAAGTGTTTTGGGGAGCAGGAGGAAAGTGAAGTTGAGACTGAGATGAGATCAGCCATGGTCATATTGAATGACGGAACAGGCTCGAAGGGCTGAATGGCCTACTCCTGCTCTTACTTCTTATGTTCTTTTGAATGAGTGCAGTTAAGGGAAGGAAGCGAGGAATTGTGATTCTACATATGAGTGTTTGATCAGTGACAATATGAGTGTGCAAAAGTGATTAAGAGTCTGTGCAGGGAATGTGAGACAGGGACTGTGATTCAGCATGTGTGTGCAGAACAAAACAAGTTGTATCTTCTCTATCCTCATTTGGTGCATGTTAGATTTGGTGGGTGTGTGTGTGAGTGTGAGCCAGATGTGTGCGCATGTGAGTGACGGAGACAGTTTGTTCAGGAGTTAGTGCTGAGTGACGGGAAAGGAAAATGAAAAATATGTTTGGAATCAGAGAGGGTGCCAGTGTGCTGTGAATAATGTAAACAACATTTTGATTGGCATGCAGATGCGCAGCAGTGATTATTCAAAACAGATAGTATTTCTATCATAGAACTTAGACGGAAGTACATCGAATATGTAACATTGAAACTAGGTGCTTCATGTCGGCTTTTACATTCCACTTAAGTCTCATTCCATCCTTCCTCATTCATCACTCACCAGCCTAACACTCGTGTACTTACCTAGCCTTCCCATAAATGCATCTATACAATTTATTTCAGCCACTCCCTGTGTCCATGGGTTTTACATTTTCATTTTTCACTAGTTGAAGAAATTTCTTCTAAATTCACTGTTTGATTTTACTGGTGACTATCAGGTATTCAACACCTTCCATTGTGCCTTTCCCCACAAGTGGAACCACATTCTCTTCAGTCTAAATTATAAAATTATAATTTCAAAAAGCTTAATGAGGTCACCCATCTGTCCTTTCCTTCAAGAGAAAAGGAAAATGCCCCATTTATCCTTTGCACATAGGTATAAGGTCACAGTTCCTTGTAAATATTTTTTGCAACTCTGCCAATGTCTCTGTATCCTTTCTCATAATATAGGAAACAGATCTGTACACAGTACTTAAAGTGTAGTCCAAATAAGATTTGATTAAAGTTTCACACAATTCTCGGAACATTGATTGGTGGGTTCAGACATCTGTCAGTAGTATTTCATCAGAAATGTAATAGTTAAAGGAAAAGGCCTCAAATGTAAAAGATCAGCAGATCTACATTTTACGATACACTGGGATTCTTTCATAATAGTGCAAACTCACATGCAGCTAAGGATGTTATAAAACAAAATGTGGAAGAAGAAAGAACAGAAAGATTTGCCTTTACATAAAACTTTCCATAACTACAGAGTAACCCTCCACTCTTTATGACAAAATAAGTACTTATATTTTTGAAGAGTAGTTAATGTTGTAATCTAGAAAATGAAGCAACCAAATTGTGCATAGCAAGCTCTCGCAAACCGCAAAGTGATAAATGACCAATATCATATTTTAATTATGTTGATTAAAGAATAAATATTTGCTACAACACTGAAGATAATTTCGCTACTCTTTTTTGAAATAATGCCATGGGATCTTTGGATCGAGCTAATGGGAAAATTGGGCCTTAGTTTAATATCACAAGATAGCATCTCCAACAGTGCAGCACTTATTTGGTTTACAGTGTCAAACTAGTGTTTTGTGTTCAAGTGCCGAGTGAAATTTGAATTCACCACTTTCTGAACCAGAGTCATGGATGAAAAGTCCAAAGTCTAGGTAGTCTGTATGAAGGGAGGTTAGGAAGAATATGTCTAAAATGAACCAAAAGGCCATTCAAACCATTAAAGGCCATTCCTTCTGTGCAAAGGTGCTTAGTTGTTTTTTCACCTTTGTGGATTTCAGGGATGTTAGCCTACGTATGCCCAGATGTCTCTGAGAACACGTATAAAGATTAATTTCATGCCCTATTGACATCCGTGGATCATGGACTGCTGATACCAATGGATCTTGTTATTCCGATTCAGGGTTTATCCATTGTTGAGTCAACAACCCGCTAAATACTGTTTTTTCCAAAGCTCACAAAGTCAAACAAGGAACAACCAGTGAGTCAGAAAAGTAAACGCAAATGGAATTGAGTTGCAAGGTTTCGAATGGCTACATTAGCAAGATCTGTGGGCCAATGTTTGGAAATCTCAGCTGTAGCACACTAACTCTCTCATCACATCATCTAACAGCATTCTGAAGGACCATACTTGGCAAATATTCATCACTCTTTGAGAAAGCAATACTTCTTGATGTCAATTTCAATTGAGACAAATATTTATACAATGGGTGCCGATTTAAATATACCTTTTGGAGGGCACTGTTCTTGTACTCTGGCTTGCTCTTTCTCAAAATCATGAGGGGTTTCCTTCAAGTGAATAAGGAGGAATTGTTTCCACTGATGGGTGGATAGATATCCACAGAAAAGAACCAGAGGGGAAAAGATGGACTTTTTTTAGCACAAGGGGTTATTAGGGGTTATTGGAATATGATGTTTGAAAAGCCTATGGAAGAAAATTCAGTTGCATATCCAAGGACTTTTGAAATATGTTGAGGGTTTCTACCTACACCATCCTTTCAGACAGCTTTATGCTACTTCTATAATAATTTCAACATGATCAAGTCCATAAAGTCTTACTTGCAGATTGTTAATTATATCAAACAAACCCAATAACATTGAGTAGGGGAGGCTTCCTAATATAAGACCATAAGAAATAGGAACAGGAGTAGGCTATTCAGCCCCTGAAGTCTGCTCTTCCATTCAACAGGATCATGGCTGATCTGACATTTCTCACATCTACTTTCCTGTATTTCCCCGTAACTTGTGATTCTCCCCCCGATCAAGAATCTATCTCAACTTTAAATATAAAATGGACTCTGTACCAAAGAGTTCAAAAGAATCACAGCCCTCAGAGAGAAGAAATGTCTCAGTCTTAAATAGCACTCCTTATTTCTGAGACCATGCCCTCTGGTCCTAGGCTGTCCCATGAAGTGAAGTATCCTCTCAGTATTTACCCTGTCAACCCCTTTAAGAATCCTATATGTTTCAATGGGAGCACCTCTCATTCTTTTAAACTCCAGTGAGTAGAGACCCAACCTGTTTAACCTTTGCTCATAACAATCCCTCCCTACCAGGGATCATTTATATCTCAGTATAAACCACAACATAACTACTATCTGGATGCACTTTATCCAGAATGTTGGATATGTCAATCTCAAATTCACACCTTCCCACTTTTACTG